ATTGAGTATTTCAGTTGTTTTGTAGTGGATCTGGCTGCTCTCAAAGTATGTTTCTAACAATTATTAAATCTGGATGGAAAAAATTAGCCATGAATGCAGTGTTTGTTAATAAGCAGTGGTTTTTTTCCTTAAAAAAAAAAGGTGCCAGAACTCACATATGTCATACAACCTGCCTTGCCTACCCTACAAGGTTCCATCCAAAAAAGGTATCGGAACTCCATTCTGAGCATTCTATGAGGAAAAAAAGCCCTGTTAATAAGTATGCAAGCTACCACAACCTGGATTTTAGTATTCTTAATTCTTTTCTTTTTCCTGTAGAGTATATAAATCAGCCAGAAAACAACCTTCCACCCAACAAAAACCTACGACTACAAGGATCTACACTAGAAAAGCAAAAAAGGCACATGGGAAAAAATGGGCTTATCAAGGAACCAAAGAATGCATTCTATACGAGTTTCACCAGTGCAGTGGAAAATCCAGAGTACCTGACACCATGCAGTGTCCCTGCATCTAGCCCTTTACCACAAGCTTTTGACAACCTTTATTACTGGAACCAAGAAAATCCTAAGTGCAATCCAGCAGAATTCTTTGCCACTTCCATTGTTCCTCCTGCAGCGACCAATGGCTTTCCTCCAACCCCAACAGCAGAGAATCTGGAGTACTTAGGGTTGTCCGAACCAGTCACTTGCTCCAAGGACTTTGCATAAAAACTATTCCTCGTGACCAGTCAAATTGATTTTTACAATAAAGGCACCTCAGGATACAAACCCGGTGAATGAACCATGCATGATGAACACGATTAAAGCCTGAATGGTCCTTTTGAGGCCCAATGGGTTGTTTCTCTCACCTCTCCTAGCTCTTGAGGAAAGGTGGTGGGCACATTTGGATCTACCGCAATAGAATAGCATGGCTTTTTTTAAATTCTCTTTTATTTAATACTAGCAGTAGCAAGATTTTCCCTCTGCTACTACCCTAAGATGTACTGCTGAAAGTTTTGGGATCCATGTATGAATTTTTGTTTGGATAGAGGTTTGGTTAGTATAGTACTGGTAATCAAATATACTAGTTGGCTCAGAATTCTGCAATACTTAAGTATATTTCCATCACCCCAAGAATCAGATGACAGACTCTGGTTTTAAATAAAAAGAGGTTTAAAATCCTGCAAACTTGAAGTCCACCCATTTCTGGGCTCTAAGGCACTACATCTATGACATTCCTCTGATTCAAGCAGCTCTGCTGCCATTTGGGTACTTCAGCAGAATGGAGTGCTCTTTTATTTCTCACCACACCCGTAGCCCCTGCTTTTCATGCCTTGGTCTTCAAGATAAGAGGCCCAGACTACTAAAAGGGCCTAAAAAACTAAAAGTTGAAATTATAATACATTAAGAAGAGTGAAAACATTCATACCAGAGTTTGGACTGACAGGAAGAGTGGAAAATAAGGGCAAAATGTGCTTTATGGAAATTGTATTATTGCTTAAACAGATATTCTTCAACCTTAGGATGGGAATAATATGCTGTTATAGCAAAGTAGAACAAAATAATTTATATTTTTTTTCAACAAAATATCTTAGAAGAACAAGAAAACAGTTTTGCTTAGTAACAAATTAGTTGAAATTTATTGAAAGTTTCTAGAAGAGGCAGTTGAGGAACCAAAACAAATTTATTTAGTTTAGTTTAGTGATGCTAATTTAAAAACGGTATATATTTGGATTGGAAAGTAGTTGATATATATGATCTTTGACGTGCCATTTCTTAGTTTCTACCAAGAGAGTACTGACAAAAAGCATCTAACATATTGCTTCAGTTAGAGACAATAATAGAAATAAGTTTCTTCATAGGCACAATATGCCTCCTTTAACAGTATTTTTGGAATATTTATTGTTTAAGAAAGTGAAAGCTGCGCACATGCCTCCAACATATAAGAGGGCAGACTGATAGTGGGTGCGAAATGTAGATTTCTAAGAAACTTGTTTTTAAGAAAGGGTCCAGCATTGATGGAGGCAAATGTAAGCTTGAAGTGCATAGATATGTCTTCTAAAATCACAGGAGCCAGAGAGACTGAATATGATTGTCAGAAATTGTGGATGAAGTTTTGATATTCTGCATAGTCTTTTACTTTCTCTCAAGCAGTCAAGGCTAGAGCAAAAAAATGTGCAAAACAGATTATCGAAATACTCAGTGTAATTTATGAAGCAACATAAAGGAACTTTTCATTAAGCACAGATTAAAGGGTGCTTAATTTTTACTCTCTGAAAGAATTAATCAGTGTACGTTTATGCCAGCAGTGGTCCTCTTAAGGTTGATTTGTTACCTTCCAGATTGTACTTCCTCTGTTCTAATTGAAGACTTTCCTCAATGAATTAACTCTTAACTATTAGTATTATGTCTAAAGTGCTGTATATAAAAATAATTGGTATGTCTCTTAAGTGAACTTAGTGACATCTGAGTGAATTCCTAGACTGTGTTGGAATGAAAGAATAACATGCCTGAAAAACACTGGATTGGGGAAGATTGGTGTAAGTCACTGTCTCTCATTCCATGTGTCATGATTGTAGGTCTATTATATACTGCTAAAATTCTTTTGCTTGTTTGCAGCCTTCACTTAGGCAAAACAGTGCTTCACAAAGCAGCAATTCATTGAATTAATGTGCTTCAATGTACCTAACTTACAAAATGCATCCCAAATCTGGGACCCATGACTTCCCATGGGATCGACATTTGGCAATTTTATGCCCATTTCAATGCTGCCATGTCACCATACTGCTGGAGTTAGTTGCGCTCACTTGGTTTTAATTTGCAATTTTCCCTGTCACCTTCCTACAAGGAAAGACAGTGGAGAAATTGACACGATCGGGAGTTAATCCCACTCCACTGCTTTTTTATCCAGTAGTGCTCATTCTTTCTCTATTTAGTAAGGAAATATCTCTGAAACAGTGACTCAATAGGTCACGGATTGTCTAGGTCTTTCTTTAAAATCATTCTGAATAAGTACTGTGATTATAAGTAATTCCATTTCTTTCTCACTGAATCAAATTTGAAAGAAAGTGGAGTAATGAAATGGAAATGCTAACGTTAGTGCATTGCTCTCTAATGTCTTTATAGGAAATAGAACAAGAGATGTTAAAACTTTATAAGGTCTTTCCAGCGCTGATAAAAAGTAACCACTTTCAACATGTACAAGTCTTTCAACAAGGACAAGTCTGAGGATCTGGAGAAATGCCTTTTTGTTTTGATATTTGAATATCTAAAATGGCTGTGTGTGTCAAGAATTCTGAAAGTTGCAGATGGCATAAGTTTGGTGAAGATCCTTGAAGAGCAAAGGGATGTAGCGTAATTGGTACAGCTTGTTCCTTGTATATACAGAACATCTTGGAACTGTAAATACCATTTACAAAATTTATAGAAAACAATAAGAAACAAATCAATACAATAGAATGTGTATGTAGTTGTTCTAAGGAATTATTTGTTTACTATTTCCAAAGTTCATTCTATTTGCATATTCTCCTGCTTTCCATTGAAACCTGTGTTTTCCAGCTGGTGCTACTTTAGATCAGTGAAAAGAATCAGCTGTCAGTGGTTTTTTTTTTAAAAAAGAAAAATGTGTTATAAGTATTTGTATATCTGAGAAATGTATAATATAGTTTTCATTTTCTATAATATCTGTGTTGGAGCTTTTTTATTCTTGTCCCTTAAACTGACATTTCGGTTGCTGCTCAATCCTCAATAGAGTCCAAATAATTTCTAGAGAAAGTCTGCCAATTTGGCAGAATTTAGATGTTTTTGAGAGCAGAAAGATGGAAGGATGGTTCCTTTTGCCCACATCACTGAGGTTTCTATGTTTTAAGAATTACATAAAACAACTTCCTCAACCTCAATATATAAATTTATACAAAAATATGTAATATACAAACTTGCCATTTTAAGATGAAAAGAGCAAAACAGTTGAGTCTGAACTAATATAACATAGTATTATTGAATTAATAACTACATCTTAGAAATACAGCAGGCCAGTAGCTAACCTAGTTGTTTTCCCCTACTATTCTGGTGACTTTGGGCCAGACACACTCAGCCCAACCCACTTCACAAGGTTATTGTGCAAAAATAGAAGGAGTATTAGATATGTTTGCTACCTTGAGGTGTTCAAAAAGATCCTACACCCTTTCCCCAGCAAGAGAAATTGTAAAGTGTAGTAGTTTTCTAAAAAAGAAAGAAAAGGGGGGAAATGGCCAATAAATGATGAAAGGAGAGTGACATTTGAAGAACAGTGAAAAGGAGACTTTGTATCTTTTAAGAAAAAAGGAGTTATGGGATAGTTGATCTCTCTTCATTTAATCTCGCTTAACTGGTTCTATTCATTGACCATTTTAGTAATTAAAAATCATTCTAATTCTGTAATGATCACTTGGGGCCAGATCTCAATACTATATATGCATGTAAGTGTTCCTCTAAACATTGTTTTAGACTTGTTCCCCCCCCCCTCCACTTCATGCATGTACAAGATGGAAGCTGGACTTTTGAACATGTGGAAAATACCTTTTTTTTTTTTTTAAGGGTGAGATTGTTAGCACAAAGATCTCTTCTCTTCCTTGGTCAGTTGTAGCACCTAGCCACTTTCTTTGAAACAACTGACTGGCTTCTTCTCCTTCTATCTCTTGCAAAATATCAGTGAAAGGAACTCTCCACTGGGCTGATCCAGTGAGATTTTTTGCAACCAATAGAAGCAAATACAGGTAATCTTGTGATTTAAGTTTCATGCTCAAAACAAACCCCTGCAATTGAGACTGTCTATTTTTAACAGAGAAAAAAAAATAAAAGAAAATCAAAGTGTTTTAATGTTCACATTTTCTGCATTCTAAATTTCAAAATTTTAAACGCAGCTGAGAATCCTGCCTCATGTCATGCCTTGCAAACAGCAATCTTATTTCTTTCAAACTATTTCCCAAATGTAAAAAGCTTCCCTAATTAATTGATTAGCAACACCACACAGACAACATATTGTAAGCTTTTTAGCATTTTCTCCTTTATTATAAATTACGGTAAATAGAGGCTCATCCACAATTTCAACATATAAATTAAGACACTGGAAGCGGGAAGATTATTGGTGCCTTTCATCCTCTGGCCCCAGCAAAGGGTGCCAATAAGCAGCAGCATTTTCTTAGAATTTTCTTAGTTTTTAGAATTACTCACTGATAGGTCCAAGATGAAAGCTGGATTATCAGAATCAAGTCTTGAGACAAAATAGAGGCATCATAGTACAATGAAAATGACAGTTAAATAAAACTAAAGGAAATTATATTGCTCACTCCTACAAAATAAGCTGTGCAACATGCAGTTACTGGGTTGATAACTTATGTCCTAATTTCAATGTTTGCCATTACCACAATAAGATCATGTCATGAAATCTGTACTACTAACATGACAGATGCAGATCAGCAATTTAATCAGCAGAAAGTACTGTTGACTGCAAGTAAACACTTCAAATTGGACAGGTACATACTTTGATCCAATGAAACTCTTAAAGTCTCACAGATTGCAATGAGAGAGTTAGGCTTGTAGCTTACTGTTGAAATAACTGAACTACAAAAATACTTACTGGGGGAGTGAAAAGTGTGAAAAGTTTAGTTTTAAAAAAGACAAATGAGCTGTAAATATGTCACCCATAAAATAATTTTTAAGCATCCTACTATGAATTACTTTTGATTTCATATTTATTCTCAGAAAAAGTAAAATTGGTTCAGTACATAAGCATGTAAGAACTACTTTATTTGTCAACAAATCATGTCTAGTTTAGGGATATCTTAGAAGGATGATCATTTGCAAAAGTTCAGAGTAGTGTAAAAAAGAAATGAGAATCTAAGCATTCCCCTCTTCCATGTAGCAACACTGTCCTGGTTATCTCAAGAGAATGTTACATTAAATTAGGGAAACCCTTAACCTAAGATAAATGTGTTTCTGGCAGTGGAATAGGGCAGCAAAAGCATTATTGTGATCATTCATGTAGTGTGATATGCATGATGTTTTTCATTCTGAAGCACTCCTTTAGCAACATTGATCCCCAAAATATTGCTTGAAATATGTGGTCCTTGAAAACTTTCACTGTAGCATCAATTGTACCTATGCAGGACTATTGAGAAGACTTCTTATCAAGCTTTACGCTGGCCCAGCAGACCTCATAGTGAAGTCACATTGTGGCACCAACTCATTCTAAATGCTGGGAAAGGAGCAGGAGAATGGCCAGAAGTTGAGGTTTTAAAGGCAGAGAAGCTAAAAGATCTTAGATAGTCTAAAAAATATGAATTTCACTCCTGCTCATTCAGATAGGGTTAAAAGAAATACAACAGGAAAAATCCATGCATCTCAAAAATAGAAAAAAGATTTAGAAGATAAATTCTCCTCAAGAAAAAAGATTACTTTATTGAATAAGCCCTATTAACTCAACCTCTCTAATATGGCTTAAGTTCTAGCTTATTTTATTTGTTTGTAAACAAACCAAATTATTTTAATGTTGGAAGCAAAAATTGGAAGCAAAAGTGATAAGGATTCAGGGAGGGTAGGCAAGTGGAGAACATGGAGTAAATGGAAAAAAATACACTAAAGAATGACACAAGGTGGCCGGCTCTTGGTGATTTTCTCAAGTGGCTCTCCATTGCTAGCCCTCCGAATGGCTTCAATGAGCTAGAGGGACAAAAAGGAGAAAACAAACTGTATTTTTTTTCATTTACAGTAGACTTACTGAGTGAAAAAGAATAAACTGTCAGAATACCATCTGAAGTTATTAGGTAAAAAATTCTCTTTTTAAGAAATGTCAGGACTATATCAAAGTGTTTTACAATATAAGTAGTAAAATCAAGGATGGGAAAATAAATCTCTTGTACATAATTTCTTTCCCCACGAACCTTGAAAATGAAGGATTTTTAACTTTCATCTTGTATGAACACATTTTCACTTCTACAAGGGACTTTTCTCTTCCTCCTCCCTGACATGCCCCCTCCCCATCTATTCTACAGTATTGCCATCTCTCTAGAACAGGTTTGAAGGAAAATGGAGACTACTGGAAGAAAAGGAATAATTTTTTTCTATCACGTGCACAACAGCCATCCATAAGGTAGGCTAATTAGATCTACCTACAATAGTATGTTTTATGAGGAAGTGAACAATACTATTAGAATAGTGGTCTCACTTTATTTGGGTGAGAACATGAATTAAGAGCACAATTTTTTAACAATACTATTTTATTCCTGGCATGTCTGCACAGTATTTTTTAAAATAATGTCAAGGATGACTAAAGCAAATATCAGCACCATTTTCACCATGTTTAACTAAAACTAGTCAAATCCTGTAATATGCTGTTGAGCTCATCTTTGAAACCCTGTATGAGAACAATCTGATCATTACCTTAGATATTTAAGCTCTCTTCCAAAATAACTAATTTGAGGAATAGCAGGGAAAAGTAAGAACTCACGTCTTTCTCATAAGGGAATCCTCCATTCTCAAGTTTGGAAAAGATCAATTGTCCATTTATTTCTATTTCAAAGGCACCTTAAAAAAAATGTTGTATTATAAGCAGTTCAATTCATAATACATACATTCACCCAGAATCAATAATCTGTTTGTGTCACCTTTCTCAAAAATCAACCTATGAAGTGATAGCAAGATTTCACAAAGCATGAAAGTAGCTATGTGCGCATCCCTACTCGGATGCGGACAATCCATGTGAAAGTCCACACATTAGAAGACAATTTTTCTCCTTGTGGCATTATAAATTTTTATTGTTGAGTAAAGCTCAACATTTCAAAAGCATCTGGAGTTCTTTAATCATTCATCAGGTATTTCTTAACAAAATTATTTGAACAACAGGCTGGCCACTGCCACTAATTATTCAAACAAGTACTAAATATGAGAGACATCTCCAGATACAAGTGAAATTGAATAACATCTTGCCAAAACTTTAAATGACTTAATTATATTCAAGAATACTTCTTCCATCTCTCTTAATTATCTATAATAAACAAAGAATCAGAAATACACCGTGATTCTGGAATAGATAAGCTTGAGTAGAAAAGTCCTCCTCAAAACAAATTTTGAAGGCTATTGTCAAATGACAAATTTAATAAAAGTACAACCTATTGTTTCCAGTAAAAAAATCTCAGTGATGCTAAAACAAACTAAATATTACCATGGCATTAGCATGCTTAATAGATTTTTCCCCCACCAATGAACATTTTTAATGTCAATGGCCACATATTCTTGAAAGATCATTTGGTGGCAACAGAAATATGCTAATGGATGGGTGACCAAAGGTGTCAGGGACCTTCCAGTTTCTTTTTCTCATTTCTTTCAGAAATTGGAATTTTTCTGAATCCCTAATTACCACTGCAAATATTCATGTATAAGCCCACCCACAGATAAGCAGACCCTCAAAGTTCTAAGCAAATTACCATGAAAAATTTACCACCCATAAGCCACTGCTTAAAATATTATGTCTTAATTTTCATATGCTTAATCACAGGAGGCAAATATATACACATAGTCCTTGACTTACAACCACAATTGAGCCAGAATTTATGTTGCTAAGTGAGAAATTTGTTATGTGAGTTTTGCCTCATTTTACGACTTTTCTTACCACATTTGTTAAGTGAATCACTGCAGTAATTAAATTAGGGTTAAGGGAATCTGGCTTTCCCATTGAATTTGCTTGTCAGGTCTCAAAAGATGATCACATAACCCCACAACACTACAACCATCATAAATATGAACCAGTTGCCAAGCATCTGAATGAAAATCACATGACCATGGGGATGCTGCAACGATCATAAATGTGAAAAATGGTCATAAGTCACTTTTTTCAGTGACAATGTAACTTCGAACAATCACTAAATGAACTGTTGTAAATTGAGGACCATCTTTATGGGATATAGGGGTACTTTTAAAAAGCTGAGGGAAAATTACCATATATAATACTGATAAGCCCATCTGCAGATAAGCTGAGCCCAATTTGGGGGGTATATTTTAATATCTAAAATTCTCAGCTTACCCATGAGTATATAAAGTATGTAGAAAAGATTTCAATAGGTGACCTAGCAAATAGACAAAAAAAAAACCAATCTTTCTTTCCCTACTACTATCATTTCTCTTCCTCTTCTCATTTTAATTTACATGAGTATGAACTTTGTTTTCCTAAGCTCCTAGGGATGATCACAGACTAGTTCCATAATTCCAAGGAGTACAACTAGCCTGTAGACTGGTGTTTCTCTAATGTACATGTTTATAATGCACACATTAATTTCATAGACATAGTGTGTTCATTCCATCAAATGAGATATTGCTAATTGCTGCTGCTTATTACCATATATGCTAACTTGTACCTGTGCCCCCAAGACGGGATTCGATCTCCACATCAGGATATTCTTCTTTTACAGCACTCGCCAGCTCCAGGTAGGCAGATTCAAAGCCACAGGGCTTGCTGAGAAGAGAAATTTAGTGTTGGTGTTAAAGTTAAGTTGAAGACAGGGTAACCTAAGAAGGCAGTAAAGTGAATGTTGGGTGGAGGCAATAAAATATTTAATTTTTATATATGAACTACCTGTTTATCATTTTGAAAAGAACACTAAACATTGTTCACACGAGACTGAAGTATTCGCAAAAATTATATGTATTGTTTGTGTATCTTTCTTTGGAATGAGGGGCTGCATTCAATATTTTGCAAATATTACAAAAAGAAAAAAAAACCCAACATTACTACATAAAATATAGGCACTCATGCTATTATTCTGCTTTCTAGACAAGTTTCTGTCATTAAATTCTGAACCATGCCGGACAAACTACTTCCAGTTCTTTAGCTTCTGAGCTTGATAAAATATAGATAGGCTAAATAAACCTTGTACACACATTCTCCCAACACCAAGGAGCCAAACTAAATCCCTCTGTTATTTGCTCTTAAAGTGAGATTTGGTTTGTGAGAAGAGCCCAGGAAAAGATGCTATTCCGTTCCTACGAATCTGTAAAATACATGTCAAGGATGGTATACCATGAAGTTTATAGCATACTAAAGCATACTGACTGGGGAATTCTGGGAGTTGAAGTTCACGCGTCTGAAAGTTGCTGAAGTTGGGAAAGGCTGCTATAAACCAACAGTATTGGTCCAAGAATAAACTTAGAAAATTAAGATACATACATCGGGGAAAGAAAACGCGCCTGTCTAGATCCCAGGCCTAACGGGACAATTAAAGTGAAATCAAGACAGCGAAATCAAGAAGAATGGAGAAAAATAGCAACTGGCGGTCGCGGGCTCCATGGATGGGCGGGATTACCCTCTGCCGAGGCGTAGCCTTCCCTCCCCCCGCACAGGCGCCTCCCTCCAGCTCTTTCGCTCACCAGTATTCCACGACGATATGAATCTTTCTTCCAGTAACGGGCGGGACCTCCGTAGTCGGCTCCCCGGACCCGTCGCTCATCATACCAACTGCTAGCGAGTCCACGGAATCCACCCAGAACCTTTCCGTTTCGGTCGGGCCAAAGTTTAAAAACTCAAGGCTGACTTCCTGTGGTTGCTACCTCATCACAAGGAAGAAAACTACTTCCGGTTTCGGCCCATGGCGGAAGCCGAGAATTATGTGGGCTTCCAGCGGCCTTACTGGGTCACGTGAAGCGGGCCGCTATCTGTTTTTCGTTTCCTCCAATCTCAGATTCCACTATTTCTGCCTCATTGCCGAGGGTTTGAGCTCCCCCTGCTGATCGTTAGCATAATCGTTTTGCAGTCCCTTCCCTTTAGTCAGCTGTAGCCTTTCTCTCCAGTTTTCCAAGTTGCTACTATGGAAGCGCCGCAAGGGAGCAGTTCCGTTCTGATGGTAAAGAAAATGACAATAAAGGTTATCTTTCTATCTATGAGTGTTGATTGCTGGTGAGGAGGTATTTTGGTATTTTTGTTTCCTTATTTTAACAGAGCACATCCATGAACATCAAGGAGCAGTCAGAAGACATAATGAAATCTCCTTAATTTCAAAGCACAAGGACAGACTCAACTGTTGAAAGAAAAATCTTCATCAGGAGTCCAATCCAAGCCGGGAGTAAATAACATGGAAAGAAGGCTGTAGTTTATTGAAGAGGAGAGCCAAACAGAAAGATGGCTCTGGAAAAACTGACCACATGTAGCAGGGAGTGGTAGGCTTTTATATCTTCTTGAGCTTTTGTTCCTGTGGCATGAACTTTGACCTGAGTCTGAGTGTGCATTTCTGATATTCTGATGGTGGTGGGTTAACCCTATTATGTCCCAAAGGTCATATCCTGCTTCCCTGGGGCTGTGTCTGATTACTGTTGGATTTTTTGGTGTGAGGGATTGTTGATTCTAGGCATCTTTCTTTCTAATCCCAGCTTCCTGGCTCCAGTCTTTTTGACAAGATGATCATATCTGCATTTCTGCAGACTGGTTTCTGTTTGGGACAGAGAGACTTGTGGGGGGGGGTTGGTTTCTGCCTTTAAAATCCTTTGGGGAAATATATTCTATCTTTTTAATATTTCCCAAAATATTTCTTTCTCTGGATTCTTCCCACATAACCATAGTTTCAACTATGAAATTTGAGTATTCTAGGTCAAGCAAAGTCTAAAAGTCTTACAGAATTCCTGAAGCCTGGCATTCAGATACCGGTAAATCTGAATGTATCAACACATTCATTACATATCAACAGATATGTAAAGATAAACAACATCAACATTTTCTCAAAAGAGAAAATTATAAAGACCAAAAGGAAACAAAAATATCCTGTACATTCTCTTCCTTTTCCATCTGGGTGATATTATAGTACAATCCTATACATTCCAGATTTTGGGACCAACTTCACAAACCTTAATATGGCTAGGAAAGCATAAAGGGACAAGAGAAAAGAGTGCTGGACAATCCTCTTAACATTTTGATTTTAAAAATAATAGCAATGTTCAAGATGAAAATAAAGTATTATTTATAATCAACTCCAAAGACCTACTTAACATTGAAAGCTGCACTCTTTTTACCTCCAAATAGTGGGTGGTAGTCCGGAATTGGGCATTGGGTCTGAAATATGATGCTGAAAACAACTGTTTTGTCAAGGCAAATTCACATAGATTTGCATAGATGTGCAATACTATCTAATACTTTTATCTAATACTACCTTCTGAAAAACTGTAATATTACCACTTCAAGTTTTCTCTTTCTTGTCTCTTGAATGATTTTGCTTCCTTGATTTATTGGTGCAAGATTTTATTGTTGATGTTTTGCTACAGTTATTTTATCATTTTTTAATCTAGGTTACATTAGAAATTTTGGGGGGAAAAGTGACATAATATATTCCAAATTATACATTTTTACTTACAAATAAGGGACTGTTCTGTGTACGAATGAATTAAATCCTACAGCTGGGTTGAACTAAGCAAGGTTAAGCCTGGATAATATTAAGAGCCAGTTTGGTGAAGCAAAAGACTAAAAACTGAGAGACTGTGATTTCTAGACCAATCTTAGTTACAATATTAGTGGTGACGTTGAGCTGGTCATTTTCTCTCAACCCTAGGAAGAAAGCAATGGTAAACCATTTCTGAAAAATCTTGCCAAGAAAAGTGCAGGAACTTGTCCAGGCAGTCTCCGAGAATTGGACACAACTGGAAGAAAAAAAACCTTATAAGTAAGTCCTTGAAGTTTAATAGTTTATATAAATATGAATATAATCATGTTTTTTCAGTGTATAGATCAGTGATTCTCAACCTTTCTAATGCCATGACCCCATAATACAGTTCCCCATGTTGTGGTGACCCCCAAGTGGGTGTGGCCACCAATAAGAGGGAGTAGGACAGCTAGGGAAAAGGGAAAAAAAATGGCAGACAGCATGGTTTGGTGACCCCCATGAAATGGTCATTCGACCCCAAATGGGGTCCCGACCCACAGGTTGAGAACCACTGGTATAGATATATAATCTATAAGTCATGCAGATATGAATATACTCTGTAAATACAGAAGTGAAACAATTGTCTTGATCTATACCAAGTCCATAATTCCCCCTCCTTTTTTATTATAAGCTCCCTATCTTGCCAAAGGCTACAATTAATGCATTGATTAATTATGTGTCATCAAGTCATATATAAATGAATTAGTTTTCTAAATTTTACAAATGCTAGCTATTTTAGTTAGCTAAGTTTCAATAAGGCCAAACTGTTGATTTTAGGGGCCATATTTTGCAATTGAGGACAGGGAACCTATTATATTTTGGTTCCAGCAGAATGCTTTCAGACCTGTGGGTGCACGAACATCTTTCCCTTTCACTTAGAAAGAACAACATTCAGCTACACTTTTGCAAGAACTAAAGAGCATCTCCCAAAGATAAAAGAGAGATAAAACAGAATTTTCCTTGTTAAAATTTCCTTATTCCTTTATATGCTAAGACTAATCACATTTCACACTAAAGATGTTATTAGTTGGAACAGCTCACCCTTGGAGTTATATGGCTCCAGATTATCTAGGTTTGACCAGAGAAGTCAAAGCATTTCTTTACAATTGGTTTAATAACTTTTAAATAAAGTCTTATTTGCATGGAAATCCTTTCTTCCTTCTCTGCTCCCCACCTCACTCCCCACCCCATTTGATCTGTTATTGGCTAGACTTGACCTGACATGCCTTTCCAGAATGCCAAAAATAGCTTAACACCATGTAGCATTGGAGTCATTCAGTATCTCCAGATCATTTCTGCAGCTCCATTAAGAGATTTAGACAGATTCCAGTGTACTGCAACCATCAATTTCTTTTTGATGGTCATTTGGGTCAAGTTTGTGTAACAAGGAGTAGATTTGGAAGATACACGCAAGAGAGAAGATGAGTGTCATAGAATGATTATGATAGGTGGATCCTCAAATAGTCACTATTTCAAATATCTAGTTCTATCTTAACTGAATGAACAGCATACGAGACATAAGCAGACCAGGAAAAGGGGAGGGGGAGGTATGGAAATAGCTTTGTTACACCTCAGTGGGCTGAATCACTGAATAAGATAAAAAGCAAGGATACCCTTTTCAGTCCAGCCAATGTCTACAGTCAATAAAAGAAGGCAGTCTGGGGACTCTCAGTTTTGGGTCTACAGCATGCAGGAAACCACGTTTGCATCAAAAAAGAGCTATGGGAGTGGTCTTCTGAATGTGTCTGCAAAAGCATGCTCTTCCAGGCAAGATATCCAAATGTCCTGAGCAAAAGAAAAGCTGAAGTTTTGCTTCCCACTATAAAAGTAATCTCTGGGGGCTACAGCTATAATGTCTTAAAGCATATAACATAGAACTAGACCTGGAAGTTTATGCCTTCCCATGCAGACCTCATGCTGTATCTGTTGATCTATATTGACTGGCTCACTATGTGGTAGTAATAAAATGTTTATGGTTATTATGCTCTCCCCCCTCTCCTTCAGGTATCATCTTCTCTATATGCATTAATTTCTATTTTAACACTGAAAAAATATCGTGCTTAGCCGCATAGCAGAGTAAAGAAAGATCTCTTCGTGAGACCTTGGAGACACATTGGCAGAAAAGATTATATTGCCCTGATATTTATGCTCCTATTCAGGAGCTTTTATGAAAGCAGGTAAACAAACACCTGCATATAGAAGTATTTAGTGATTTAGCAATGCAAGTTGGACTATAGGTAGTCTTTGCTTAATGACAGATCACTTAATAACTATTCAAACTTATGATGTATCTCCCCAGAGCTATTTATGACTCATTTTTGAAGTTTTAAAAACTGCATGTAAACTTATATACACACATGTGCACACATGATTATATTTGAGGCACTTGGCATCTGGCTTGCATTTATAGCTATTTGCAGTCTCCTGCAGTCATGTGCACAAATTTTAGCATTTTTTGCCAGTTCCATCCTTTACTTCTGGTTTTTGGCAAAAAATGTTAAAGTTCATTTGGATTATATGTGAATCCAAAGCTCTTTTCAGTGACTTCCAACTCCTATAGTATGGCAACAGAACAGTTTTCCTATTTTAAGTGGAAAACTTTAAATGTCATAAAATAAGCTTAGATTTAAAAAAATACCAAATATAGCCTCCCCTTCAAACAAGAACAAGAGAAATGTCTTTTATTGGTGTAACACAGTCTCGTTCATTTGGTGTCATCTTCCTATTTATAGTGTCCCTTGGTATCTCCGAAAAATGTTAAATGTAGTCTCTGGATATATTAAAAATACCCATTCCTGATCTGAAAAATAGCCACCTGATATGAAAATTTCAACTGCATTTTTGAAGTTGGCTAGTATAACAGCAGATCTGCATCTGTACCAGAAAAATTAGGCTGGTTGCCATTTGAGTGTCTTTAACAGATATGAGAATTACAAAATGAAAATGTTACAAAACTGCAACAGGCAAAATCCTTCCTATTTTTCATTTCTGTCTGGGTTGAAGTAGTATACTGTATGCTTTCTGTAAAAAAAAAAATCCTTAGCATATTTAACATTCATAGGTAAAGGTAGCATCACATACAACCCAAATACTGCTCAAAATAATAATAGTAAGAAGGCTTGCTCTTCATTACGCCTATGCTAGCTATCTTAATACATTTTCTTTCCTGTAAAAGACTGTCTTTGAAATCCAGAAAATGCAGCTGGTGAAAACTTTTCTGCCCAAATACATGGGGGTTTTAGATGGTTTGATAAACCCATTTGAAGTTTTATATCAGCTGTATAGATTATTTATTTCTGGATTTAATTAGTTTTCTGATACTGATAAAGTCTTTTTTTTAAGTTGTGCAAACGAAAAGCTGAGCAGCAATCCTTAAGTCCTAAGAAGGTAGCAATAGCAAAAATGAAAATACTTAGACTGATATAGCGCTTCATAGTGCTTTATAGCTCTCTCTAAGTCAGTGGTTCTCAACCTTTTTGATGCCGCGACCCCCAACCGTCGAGGACTACTCAACCAGTCGTAAGTCGAGGACTACTCAACTGGTGCAGCATCGTTTGCAGAATGGGGCTTTTGGCGGGCTCAGCAGGGCAGAGACAGCCTGGACAATTCCTATTGGCTTTTGAAAGCCAATAGAATTAGACTCTATTCAAGAGAGTCTATTCTATTGGCTTTCAAAAGCCAATAGAATAAAAGGGAGTAGCACAGCTAAGGAAAAGGGGGAAAAAATGGCGGACTGCATTTTTTGGCGACCCCCGTGAAATGGTCGTTCGACCCCAAATGGGGTCCTGACCCACAGGTTGAGAATCACTGCTCTAAATGGTTTACAGAGTCAGCATATTTCCCCCAGTAATCTGGGTCCCCATTTTATCCACCTTGGAAGGCTGAAAGGCTGAGTCAACCTTGGCCCAGTGAGACTGGAACTGCCAAACTGCTGGCAAATGGCTGTCAGCAGAATTAGTCTACATTCTAACCACTGCGCCACCACGGCTCATCGTATTAAGGTATTATGGTATTAAGAAAAGACAGTTTGATTCCTCCCAGATTTCACTGGGATGTAAGGGGGGGGGGAGTAAAAACAATCAATCTTGCAATTATTCTGTTATATTGGTATTGGTTATTGGTCTACTCTATCTCAATAAGGCTTACTTCTGGTTTTTTTTGTGGAGGGTGTTTCTTTGTTCAATCTACCTCAAAGACAACCTTTCCTAGGCAGGCAGTCTAGAGTGCTTTGGGCTGAACCTATGGAGATGACAGTAGGACCGCAATCTACTCAGCTGCAACTGGCCTGGGATGTCTGCTGCAGGAACAACCCTCTTCCTCCAGTCTCTATAGCCATTTTAGCTGAGATCCTTGCTCTTTCTCTTTTTGCCCTGGAACAGTAAACTCTTGGGAGATTGATAGATCTGGTATTGCTATGTAGGGATGTTATGTACATGTCTGGGGTTGGCTTGGAAATTTTAAAGTAGAAGAAGCAAGTGGAACACAGACCCAAACACATATCCATAACAATACAAATGAAAGGGGAGGAGAGAAAAGAGAGCGAAACTGGCCTTAAAAAAAAAAAAAGCAGAACATTCTATCAAGATTTATTGATATATTTTAATCATATTTTGATGGTATTTGGCTGTTATTGGGCTTTACCACTTATCTAAGCACTCCTATTGTTGTACTTTAAAAGGTAAAGTTGTACTGAAATTATTTATTTATTTGTTAGATTTATTTTCTGCCTATCTCACTTTGGGGCTACAATAATAAAAAGGAAGAAAAATGAAAAGTGTAAACAGAACAGAAATAAAATAGTAGAACAATAAAATAAACAGTGACAAAGAAACACAATGAGAATCATGCAACAATATGATAAGCAAAAGGATGGATGGGTGGGGAGCGGGGGAAGGATCAGGAGAAATTGAGCGATACATAGTAGTCCTTTGGATTCTTTTGTGTATTACAGAAAAATTAAATCTAGCTCTGGCAGTGCAGAAGGAGATCAGTTATTCCTCAGCAGATTTTTTCTGACTGAGGTTTCTGGATTACTGCTGATGCAACATTTCAATGTCAAACATGGAAATACTGCAGCAATTCCGCACTCCACTAAGATCTTTGTAGCTGTTTGGATCTTATACTATGACTATAATCAGATTTATGGGTTAGCTGTCGCAATACTAAGAATCTCTGTCTCCCTATCATTCA